AAAAGAGACCGAACAGCAAAAAAAAGAAAAACACGGGTTCCGGGCCTCGGCCCGAGCTCCTCAGAGCAACGCTTGCCGATCCATCCATGACATGGCACCAGAACTAGTACAGTACCTATACCCTAGCCCTCACAAAACCCATAGTGTACAGTGTACACCTCCACTCCAAGACGAATAAAGAGTCAAGAAGTGTGTTACACAAGTCATACACTCAGGATTTCTCCAAGTAAGTCCTATTCATGGAAACAGGAAACCCCCGCATAATCTGCCACATGTCCCTAGTGTTCCTGAGGGCACCATCATGTCCAGGAGACCCTCACAATCGCAAACCCAAGACCTCCCTCCAAATTATTCCCCAACGGATGAAGCCTAAGCACATCTCCGTCTTGGCCAAAGCAAAACGGGCGGGCTCAGCCAAGCAGACCTGGCCATCAGCAAGTTTAGTGTTTAGTGTTGAGGGCTTAGGGTTAGCGCGGCTTGCTTGTAGGATTTCAGGTGTAGGAAATTCCTTGGCAAAAGCATTTCAATTTGCATGACAACTACACTAGACTAGGCATAGGGTTCGCAAACGGGTTGAAGGTCCTTCCATTTTGGGGACTTCTAGCTAGAAACATGAGGTTGGGCCACAGATGCATGCGGGATCATGCGCGATCCTACAGTACCTACACCACGAGCCCTGCCTAAAACTATAAATGCACCCGGAGTGATAACTCCAACAGAGACCCTCAACCCTAAATCATTTGACTATACATTCTACACCCTGACCTTGAAGCCCTGAATCTGAATGCTCAACATGAAACCTGTACACCTAACCCTAAGCCCTAAATCACCAGCGCAGACCCGCTCACGCTAAACCCAAACCCCTGACATCTGGCCTTGCTGCTCTGCGGAGCAACCTGCATTAGCTCCTTTCCGAGGCAAGGTCTCAGGAATTGTTGTTTGGGCTCTGGGATTATAGGGGTCAGGGCTTGGTCAGGCATGCATTGGGGGTCCAGCCCTACGAAACCTGCTGCGCTTGTGTAAGCGCCTATGAAATTTCCATGCTCGTTTGGGAGCAGGGTTGTATTTTCCGATAACGGAATTTCACCCCATACGCACTCTATATATGTATGAGTGCCTGCATGTACCCCGGTGAAGTCCCAGAGGCTCTACGTTTCTTTAGAGTAAAGTAGGTACATACCGTGAGGGCACGGTATCTTCAAAACACTTCGTGGAACTGGCCGGAGCTTGCAGTAGGCGGGCGCACGGCTACGGTTGAGGTATTATGAGAGATCGGGGTTTAGATTTTGGACTCAATGTGAGTGCCTGGTGGAGGTTTTGGGATTCATAAGTTCTTACACGTACGCTATGCCTTTCGCCCTAAAACGAGTTATGGTATCCGGCAGATTTCTGAGGGCTCCGCATGCTAACCCTCACAAGAGCGACAGGCCTCCAAGCCCGTGATTGCAGGGTGCGGGCCTGGGGAGGGGTTTGTGCTGTGAACGCCACATAACACAACCCTGTAAACACGCCAAATTGACGCTGAAATTTGAGCAGCTGCAGCTGCGGTCGGCGCGTGCTTTAAAGTCTTGGTGCACTAGATACCGGAAAACAAATGCACAAAAGCGCCGGTGATAGTCTGAATGCTGTGAATCTTACCTCCAACAACCCGATGGATGGAGACAGTCCTTGTGCACGTACGAGAAGTTCTTCAGTGGAACAGTCGAGTCCGAGACAAAGACAAACCTGAGCAACAAAAGGCTCCAGCCAGTGACGTCTGCTACATGGGGTCTAGAACTTTGCGCACCAAACAACAGTAAAATCTATGATCCCAGTTCTCGGCTCGCCACCCCCCACCCTCATGGTGTCCGCCCACCCGGGTTTTCTTCAAAGGCGTCAACGGTCACAAGAAAGGGGTTGCCATCCGCTGAACGGCCGTCGTTTTTGGCTCCTCAAAGCCGCCATCCATGTAAATGTCGTGGCCCCCATGTTTTCGTCCAATCGCAAAGTACCAACAGTCACCGGGATCGGAGTTCTCATCGCCATCCTCGCAACTGCTGTCGCTCTTAAAACCTCATTGTTGCTGCGTTTTAAAATACTCAACATCACCGGGATTGGGGTCGCCCTCATCTTATACAAGCCTTCTATAACGATCGTCTGTAAACCCTCTTGAAGGAATCTATAAACTTTGTTAAGCCCTCTAGGAACTCTCCATGAACCTGCTGTAAACCACAGGCCTACATCAACCCTCTACGAACAACATCAACTCTCTATAAACCGTCATTAAACCAAAGATCCAGACCATAGGAGGAAGATAGCCACCATACCATGAAAGGATGTGCCTTGCCCCAAACCCCAACCACACAACACGGGGGGAGAGGGAGTAATTCTCAATGTTCTTTATATTCGTGACCGAAAACCCCCGGCCGAGCCCATGTGCTGAGGCCTACAAACAATTTCTACTTCGAGTTGTTTGGAACCTCAGGCGAAGGAACTTCAGGAGATACCATGGCGCAAGAACAAAACTCTGACTGTTTTCCACTTCAATTTTTTTGGGGGGGAGGGGGTGTGCATTTTGCAATCTAATCGTGGGTCGCACGCTGGAGGGAGACCAGGCAGACCAGGCATGATGAACCGCTTCATAAGCCCCACTTGAGTGCTGTTGTCCTTTTCGTTGTTGAAATAAGTGAGACTCTATTTCTATTGCTAAAGATATATGTCTATGTATATATGTCTATCCCAACCTCATTTAAACAAGGCCTTATATACCGTTCGTATTCTCATTGCATGGTTTGACCCCTTCTCCCTGTCCCCCGAAGCCCTGGACAGGGCCCATGGTTTAGAGGGTTTAAGCTTCAGGGTTGGAGTTTGGGGGGGAATATGTATGTAGGTTTAGGGGGGGCTCGAGCAGTGTTAAGGGTTCGAAGACCTTACTGTTGAAGGCATCCTCCAGGGTCTCCGCTGTGCTAGTACATCATACAACCCATGCCTGCAAAAGAACTTCAATTCCATACGGGCTGTGTTGAGCACCCTTTGTCATGAGCTGAAAAACATACTTGAAGTCCTATGACGTCCCACGCCTCCCGACGCGATCCTGACAAACGGACTGAACTGGAAAGTTTCCAGACTGCAGACTGCAGACAGTGTTCCGGCTGGGCAACGTCCCCCCGGCTTAGAATCAGATACACGGCGTTCAATTCAATGGGGGCTATAAACCCTGAAGGTTCTATTTCGTCAACTCTAGCAGACTGTCATAGCACAATCAAACCCTGCGCTCAAGACCCGAATACGCCCCCGGACAGTCTACCTGAGCTGAACCAAAAAAACACCCCGATTCGTTCTACTTCGAAGTACCAAAGCTCTGTAGGTACTGATTCATGCTACCCCGCAGTTCTGAAATCTTCTTCCGGCGAGGTTCTGTGCGTTTGTCGGATCCTTGAGCGCTTCGAAAAGCGTAGCCACTTCAACACCTTGCCCACGCGCAGGGCTTTGGGTTTACCTTGAGGCTCTCAGGACTGTCAGTGGTTTCATGAAGGATCGTCTGGGCCTGGGGGCTGAGGTTTGAGATTTGAAAGAGCCTCAGGGAAGTCTTTGGGCCTCGGTCATATCTAGGTCTCGGGATTCAGGAGCGGTTTCTCCAAAGGACAGGGCTTGTGACTTCTGGGCCGCGGAGTAGCGCCGGTATGTACATGTACATCATCCCTCAGTCAGAGTACTGCCTAGATCCCAGTACTGCAATGCCTACTGAGCATCAGGTAGCACTGAAGTGCTGCAAAGTCTCCGAAGAGAGCACACCACGCCGTTCTCACCTCGTCGTGCTTTTTTGTTGGATTAGGGCTCAGCCCAACAAGTGCAAGTTCCCAAATGAGGCTTTAGGGTGCCTCAGCCCCGAATATGTGGGTGATTGAACCCATTAGGGCAGGCCTTTACATTAAAACAAGGAGTTGATGTTGAAGGCTGCCAGGAATCCCATTACGCTCGCTCTTTCTGGGATCTAAAAACTTGGAAGCTAAAATCCAGCATGTTAGGTAGGAAGCTTTGCCGGGATTTTAACGTTGCTGCACTTGCCCTTGGTTTTAGGGTTTGGGCTTTGGGCTTGGACAATCAGGGGCTAGAGCAGAGCTGGTTAATTTTTTGTCAATATGATGCATGGCGCAAAGGCTTCCAATTTCGGCAAGCAGTATGGGACAGGGCATAGCCGATGCCTACAGTATGGCATACCTCGAAGACAACTCCCAAGACGGGGAAAAAACCTGTTAAAGACTCACTCGCGTCATCCCCAATCCGAAGTGCCAACCCCAGCTACTTAGCAAAACTATCTACTAGACACAAAGAATAAGAAAAACGACATGCTGCTTGAACACATGCACACAGCTACGTTTTCCACACACCTGAATGCCAAGACCATACTCGCATCATCATAGGCCCGAAGTGGTCGCTGCAAATTCGCCATCTAACACTATGGAAGCGGTAAACCTTTCAAGTCAAGCCTCTTAAACCTTTGAACAGTATTTTCTTCACGCTGCAAAACTGACCTGTACGTACGCCTTTTCAGAGCTGTTAAATCTAGACCCTCGTAAGACTCAGGACAGGCGGCCCAAGGTACGCGGATAGCCCCAAACTGCTCCAAAGGCAGCCTTTTGGAACTCTTCAAAGGCGAGGAGTGTTAGGGTTCAGGGTCAGAGTTTTTAGGGGAAGGGTTAAGGCGTTGGGGAAAGCTACTGAGTTGAAGTTGCCGAGGGTTGAAGCGGTAGGAGAGTTAGCAGTAGGTTGGTCTGTCAAGTCCAAGGTGGCATTGGAGGAGCTTTTAGCTGCCATGGCTTCTACGAAGCTACCCTTCAAGATAAGGATATGCTTCAGGAAAAGGCCCATCAGAAGACAATCAAAGCTCCCAAAAAGTTTCGACCCCTAAAATCCAAAACGGGCGACCCCGTTTCACCTTTGGTGAAGGTTCATGGGTTATAACTATGGGAACCATACTTGTAAGCATGAGTAGGGCAATGATTACCATACTTCTGATCAAGCCCGTTCGTCATCCGGTAATCCTACAGAAACACCTTTCTTTTATACTTCTGAATCCACGCACTGCCGCGCCCTTGGAGACCTCCCCTAACCACCCAAGCGTAGAAGTTAAAATCATGCGAGCTACTTTCTAAACTCCTAGTATCCCCCTTAATATCCCCTATGGTAATCCCCTATATAAGCCCCTACATAACCCCCTTTAAGGAGTTTAGCCTGTAGCTCATGTGTTCATCAACCTCCATGAAACCTTCTGCCAAGCAACGCCAGAGGTGGCTCCCCAGGCTTCGCCACGGCCTCCAAGCTCTGCTCCGACTTCTAAACATTGGGATATTATTGGAAATATATAGGAATATTGGGATAATATAGGAATCTTGGGATAATATAGGAATAATGGGATAATATAGGAATAATGGGAGAATATAGGAATAATGGGATAATATGGGAATAATGGGATGGGAATATTGGGATAATATAGGAATATTGTGATAATATAGGAATACTGGGATAGGGATAATATAGGAATATTGGGATAACATAGGAATAATGGGATAATATAGGAATAATGGGATAATATAGGAATAATGGGATAATATAGGAATAATGGGATAATATAGGAACAATGGGATAATATAGGAATAATGGGAGAATATAGGAATAATGGGAGAATATAGGAATAATGGGATAATATAGGAATAATGGGATAATATAGGAATAATGGGATAATATAGGAATATTGGGAGAATATAGGAATACTGGGATAATATAGGAATATTGGGATAATGTAGGAATAATATTTGGATAAAATAATAGTAGTAATAATAATAGTGGGATAATATAGGAATAATGCCGGGATAATATAGGAATGATATTAGGATAATGGAGAATAACATGGTTTCAGGGTTAGGGCTTGAGGCTTCAGCGTTTGGGAGATTAGGGTCTAGAGGATTCAGAGTTTGGGAGTTCAGAGTTCTGGGCTTGGGGCGTAGAGATTCTGTCGAATGTGGAGCATGAAATACAGGGGGTCCATGCAGGAATTCTGTAGGGAGTATGGGGGCTACATACATAAGCAGCGATCCAGGAGGGTTCATAAGCGTTTCATGCGTATAGGTTTGGAGATAGGGTCCCTGAGTTCAGCCAATACAAGTTACCTCACCTCAACTCAAAGATCCTCCTTAAGCAAATCCTAAACTTGTGGGGCCTAGTTACAGCGGAACGTTGCCTACGCACCTGCGTTCTCAATCAACTCACGGAAGAATGTTGTCACCTGAATGCCGCCGAGTCTGAGCGGCCGTATCTGAATGGGTAGAGTTAAACTAGAACGCAAGCTCCAGCAAGTTAGCCAGCGAAGGGGCCTTCACAAATAAATCTGGATTCGCAGGTACAGCAAAAATCTTCCTCCCCTCTTGACTGTCCGTCACCAACAGCCCCCTGGACCTGATTGATGCCTAGGACCAAAAGCTTGACTCCCGAGCCATCAATCCCCAAAAACGAAAGACCCATCCCCTAAACCTGAGTCTCTAAACCCTGCACACTTAAACTCATAAAGAATTCCTGAAGCCTTGCAACCACTACAAAGGTCATGCACCTGATGGATATAGATTGAGTAGTCACCAGGCGGGGCATCCTTGAAGAAACCTTCAGACGGCGACCGGGTACCATAAGGAACCCCAGGCTTGGAGTGAGCTAAAATTGTCTGGGTTCTTCGGCTAGTGCTACGGTTCGTGCAGGGAGGAAAGTGAAGAAGGAGAAATCCCTCAAACCGCAATCTTGATCCAGGTAGAATCACGGCGACACTCCTCCGCGAAGGTTTAGGGATGAAGGGCTCAGGCTTCAGAACCAATAACGACACAAACGCTACCACATGCAGTAAGCTCCTTAGTGCTTGTATGGGTCCACGTAGAATTCCTCGTAAAATGTTATTATGAATCCCAAACCCTGTGAGGGCCTCTCTAGGCTTTGCCAGACCCTACGCTACCCCAAGCAAGCCTGGAATCCCAGTCAGAGCTTGCGCACAAAGGTGCGTGGTCTTTGTAATTGCCCTTGCTGTGCTGGGCACGTATGCGCCTGGGTGGGAACCCATCACTTCCCAAGCCCGTAAAGGACTTAGAAGGTACTTTTACCAGAAGCCTGAAATCGTGTCACCCAACACCCTCCCAGCGTGGTCCCCTAGTGGTATGCACAATGTACGTCCCGAACCGATGCCTGGATTCCTTGTCTTCTCAAAGCCTGAACCTGCTGGGACTAGAAATGCACCACGAGGAGTAAAACGCAGGTCCAGCTACATCCAACTGACCCAAAACAGCTAGGCCCCTGAATGCAGCCAGAAGACTCTCCCACAGGCTTGGCCACTGGAGATCTTTCATAGTCAGAAAGATGAAGGCCAACTGTCGCAACCCAGCTTGGGAGCTCTTCTTTAAGCAGGGTTAGGGTAGTTCGGATTTGAGGGTGTGAGTTTGGGGCAGTCCTGAAACTCTGGCTCTGGTCAGGGATTCATTGTTCTCAAAGTAATTACTGTATTTAGGAGTGCGAGTTGCAGACCCCTGTTGAGGCCTGAGATCCAACCTTCCCCAACCGGGCACACAAAAATCACTTTCATTGTGGGCCTTGTGGGGTCTCATGCTAGTTGGGGCAGGGTCAACCATGAAGACCCGAAGCCTTTGACGGGAGCGAACACAAACCGGCGGAGCGCCTTCTGCTTGCCTGTGGTGTCTGCAGCCTCAGATGTTGCTGTCTCTCAGAACTAGGGTCGCACAACTCTTCCCAAAAAATATCAGGGCCTAGAAGTATGAGAAACCTCCACGTTCAACCAGTAGATGTATCAATTTCCAGCAAGTCGGCTGGACCCTACCCATATAAACCAGGTTCTCAGCATTGAATGTCACAGCTGGCAATATGGCTTCAGGATTTAAAGGTTTTCTGATGTAGATAAACTGCAAGGAATACAGCGTACATATTGCCGGCCTGCTAAATATCTGGATATGTCTGGATTCTATTTGCTTACTTGGAAATAGAGGAAGTACCGTCAGGGTCCATCTAAACAAGGATAACTTTAGGGCTTTGGGATCTAGTGTTCTAGTTCTGGTGCTTTGGCTTGCCGATTTCTCGGACCGCACCTAGGTGGCCCTCCAAAGCCCTGCCATCAAACAGCAACCATGACAAACACATCCCAATTCTTAAGCCATGAGCTGGCGACAAAACTCGCATTAGCACTAAGAACTACATACAGGATGGCTTGCTACCACAACGGCCAGAATACCAAGAAACGCGTGCAGCATATCGTATGCTACGACCCAAGGCTTTAATTTCAGAACCCTTAACCCTAAAATCTGACCCTGAAAGCTCCCCGAAGCGCGGTCAGAGCTTCCGGGATCTCCGCCGCTTTGGCTACGAATGGAGCAACCACCTCACGCTCGATGGCCAGCTTCTCCTGGACTTGTGATGCGGCGCGGGGAGTTCAGGGTTGTGGTTTGAGGGTTGCTGAAGAGCTTTGATATACATATAAGGTTCAGGATTAAGGCGCAAGCAGGTGCATCTCCCGCATGTCATTCTTGAGGTTGGGCTTTCTCAGATTTGGACTTACAGGGTGCGCACCATTGGGGAACAGGCGTGCAATTTGGGCACTGCCCTCATCCAGTAGCAGTTCTCAACAAGAGCAACATGAAGGGCTTAACATTTTGTTAACCTGATCGTTATCTTTAACCTGATCGTTATCTGACTGTTCTATACTATACTGCTAGCTTGAGGGGGGCAGCATCCACAATGCAATGTTGGCTTCCATACCAATATGAACGAATCATGTCACGCATTTTCTTAGGTTTTCTGACTTTCTGGGACAGGACTGAATGTCCAAAGCCCAAAGCAGCGTCATAGGACACACGTGTTGAAAGGGATGCCTGCAGATTTTGTGTGGCTCTGTTTTGGCCCCTCCCAGATGGACACTGCGTATATACACTAGCCGATATTCTGAAGGAACACGCCGCCTACACAAGCCAAAACCATTCAATTGCAACGGCTACCTTATGTCAAAATCTTCCAGCTTTCAGCTGCTGACCTTTGGAGCGCTATGCTCAGCCCAAATCCCTGAACCCAGGCACACCAAGGAGCACGAAGTCAGGATGGTAAAGCTCCTGACCTTGACCCCATAAGTACTGCCAAGGTTCAGAAGTTGGATGCTGGAGGTAGGACTTATTCTAGTTGTCCATCTTCCCAGGTCTCGAGGTAAGGGGATACTGATCTGTGGTTTTTCTGTCTTCACTGTACCCGACTGTACCTCAGACCCAAATTCCTAAACCTTGAAGCATACCAAGGTAGGCACTCCTGCTTTCTGGAATCAGCATCCTGTCACATCAAACATTGAACAGAATAAGGGTAGCCACTAGGACCTCAAACCTTATAAAGCTCAACGCCCTGAACCTTGAAACCCTGTACTCCACGCCCCCGGACTCTACACGCCTAACCCTGAACAACCCAAGCCCTCAGAGGCAACCGAGCTCCTCAACGTACTTCTTCTTGTTCTGATTGATTTCATCGGCCTGGCGAAGGCAGCAGTACATCGGCATGTGCGCAGCCACCCCCGCGCCAGGGCTCACCAACCTCACCTTATTCTACTCTCAGTCAGGCCCAGAAACAACCTCATACATGAAATAAGAGCAGGCGATCTGGCTACATCGTTCCATGATGCCTGGAAAGATTCAACAGTTAGATCCCCAACGGTAGCCGTCCCCAATCATGATGTGCCCAGCTTCTTGAGTTTACTTGCCGATCGTTTCAGGGTTTGGGTTAGAAGCCTGCAACGCAAAACTGAAACAACAGCAGCAGATGTCCTGTGCCCCGCCCGAAATACCGCTGCTGGCGGACTTGTTACATGGTCAGATCCACAAAGATAGACCTAGCTGACCTCTCTAGATCACTTAAGATTGCAGTGCTATTTGGCATTTACTATAACTTGTTTTTTGTAGATATGCTTTTAAGCAAGCCACGCTGTGTAGGGTTTATGGTACCCTTAATCCTTACAACCTAAACCCTAAATCCTAGACCATAAACTGCGTGTGCCATTTATCATTTAACTCAAAACCAAAACTTGAAGAAATTGAGAACAACAGGATGTATGGCGAAGGCATTACCAGGTCTTTGGGCAGTGAGGGAATTGAGAGTGTTTAGTGAGCGTTGTACAACACGTTTGCTGCCGGCAACGGAAGTTCTAATGCCTGGTCTTCCAAGGAAAAGAGGCAACCTGAACAACTTGTACATGTTGGTTCCTGAGGACATAGCTGCAGTAATCAAAGTAAGGAAAA